AACATAAACAAACAACAGAACAACTAGATATACAAAAATTAAGACAAAACATCAAACAAAACTATGAGACAAATAACACAAACACTGACAAGTAAAGACAACCTCTAGGCACCAAATAACATTAAGAAGAAATTGACAAAAACAAAGTATTTAACGCAGAAAGGCTGATCATAGGAAAAAAAAATAAAAAGAGAATGGTTCAATGACGAGTGTAAAGATGCGATCCAGAAAAGAAATCAAGAAACAAGAAATATATGGAAAGAACCTGAGAAAGAAGAGCAATCTACGAAGATGAAAGATAAAATTCAAAGTAACGATATAAAAGAAGTGTATAAATATTTATGCAATTTAAGAGAAGGATTCAAACTCCGAACAAATCTATGCAGAAATCGTGAAGGGCGATCCACTAAAAATAAAATCACTCTGGTAAACCTATTTCCAAACTCTTTTAGGGGTGCAAGAAAATGAAGAGCATATGGACATGCCTCTCATTGAGGGAGACACCGAGAATATAGAACTCCGACGATGGAAGAAGTGAAACAAGCAATAAGAGCACAAAAGAATAACAAGGCTCAGGCCTTAACAACGTCCCATCTGAGCTATATAAATTAGGTGGCGAACACCTAGTATGACAAATGCATATGTTCATAAATAAGATTTGGAACGATGAAACTTACATTCTAAACTAAAAAATCTAAACAAATGGCTTAACATGGCTTAATACTACTATATAGTGCTTATAGTCCCCTAGTGTTTTACCATCAATTTTTCTAAATGTTTTCATCTCTGTTGTTTCTATCATCCTTTTTGTCTTCTCTGCGCCAGGTCGTGTTTCTGCCGCGTATGTCATTATTGGTCTGATAACTGTTTTGTTAATTCTGCCTTTCATTTCTTTCCTGATATTTTAGTTCTCCATATCGTTTCATTCAGGCAGCCTGCGTCTCTGTTTGCTCTATTCACTTGATCTTCCACTTCAGTTTCGAGTTCGAGCTTTCCGTAGCTAGATAATGTGATGCCTAGATATTAAAACTTAATAGGTTCTATCAGATAATAGACCACTTATTCTATTATCTGACCTCCCAATTCCAATTTACATCTTAGAGAATTTGTTGTAACCTTGCATTTTATCTTTTTTTGGGGAAATTAACATGTTAAATTTTCTGGCGGTTATATTAAATGATACAGCATACGTTGTAAATCCACCTCACTTTGAGAAAGTAGTATTGTGTCGTCAGCATAGCAGATTATTTTACGTTGTTTTTCTCCCATTTGGTATCCTTTAAGTTCTTACTTTTTTTATTATTTCATCTATAATCAGGTTGAATAATAGAGGACTCAGGGAATCTCCCTGTCTCACTGTCTTATCCCATTACTAGCTTCAATAGGGTCGGTTAGTTCTTCTACTTTTACTTTTATTGTGTTGTTTTGGTAAATATTTTCGATCATAATAAATATAGCGGCGGAGCATGATCTTCCCGACCTAAAACATCGTTCTTCTGCTAGTGTTATAATTTCATTCAGTTTATTTGTTATTTCTTTGGTTGTTAATTTTAGTGTTGTGTTTAATAAATTAATACTTCGTAATTTTTTGGGTCCGATTTGTCTCCCTTTTTAAAGAAAGGTATATTAGGATGCTTGATCTACATTATTGAGGAATTATGTTTTTTTCTATTATTTTTTAGATTAGGTTTAATAGTTGTTTGGTCAGATCTGGTCCTCCGTACTTTGGGAGTTTGTTCGATATTCTGTCTTCTGCTGGTGATTTTATATTTTTTAATATCCTTAAAGCTTCCTTTACCTCTTCCTTCTCAATATTTATTTCTTCGTTTATTGTTACCTCTGGTGTTGACTACGTTGATATGACTACCTGTTTGGGAAAGGAAAATCCTAAGGAAGGTTTTTAGGACTGTGCTCGATGGAATAACAGGACAAAATAGGATAAGAACTAATAAAGAGCTCGAAGAACTATATCCAGACGCTAACATAATTCAAGATATAAGGTCCAGAAGAGTCCAGTGGGCAGGACACCTCAGAAGACATTTTAACGAAAGAAATCAAGGCTGGCACGGGAAGAAGCCACAACTGGAGGAAGATCACGACTCTAATGAAGAGATAATATAGCAGGAGACCTTAAAGCTATAGACGTGGAGGATTGGAGGAAGATTGTTCAAGATAGAGTCGAATGCAGGTGTGTTGTTAAATCGGCTAAAACCCATGAAGGGTTGTAACGCCACGGAGTAAGTGAGTAATATCAAACCGGTATTCGAGAAAAAAGATCTACAACTGACCAGCTATTCACAGTGAAACAAATTCTAAACAAATCATGGGAATACGACATTGACGTCCACAACATATTCATAGATTTCAAACAGGCCTACGGCTCAATTAATAGACAAAAGTTATATCAAATATTACATAGCTTTCTCCCAACATACATCAAACTAGTAAGCTGTCGAAATAAAAAATGAGTTCAATGAGAACTTTTCAATATTTAAAGGGTTAAAGCAAGGAGACAGGTTGGCACCGACATTATTCAACCTGACTCTTGAATAAGTGACAATTGAATATAGGAAAAACTAACCTCCTAACAAACAAGTCAATACAGATTGCCGTCAATGCCGATGACATCAGCATTATGTCTCGCAGAACGGAAGAGGCGGCAGAAATATATTTACAATTAAAAACAGGGACAAAAGAGACTAACTAGCTAACACAGGCAAGAGCTGAGGGAAATAGAGCACAGTTGAATTAGAGGAGGATATTGAAAACACTGGTTATCGGAGTGTATAACACTATTATCAGACCAATAGAATGATATGGATGCGAGACATGGGTGATGACAGAAAACACAAAAGAAAGCTGGAAGTATTTGAAAGAAAAGTTATAAGGAAGATATTTCGACCTATTACAGACGCAGTATGGACACCCACGTACAGCCATGAACACCTACCAACTATTCAGAGAGACACTGATCTCAAAATTCGTTAAATTTAAGAGAGTTCGATGGGCAGGTCATGTAGTGAGAATGGAGACCGAAATATTGCCAAATAGGGCCCAATATAGTAAAATGCAGGGCGCAAGACCAAACGGAAAGCCACGGAAAAGGTGGGAGGACGAAGTGGCAAACTGTATAAGATTCGATGACAAGACGACTGGACCAGATCGACTAAAGATTGATAAGTTGTCAGCTGTTAGACTAATCTTTTCACTATTTGTAGAAAATTGCAAAAAAGGATACTCTATGGGACAAAACGTAACTATAGACGAGATTTTGGCAAGCTTTCGGGGCAGATGCGGGTATAGGCAATATATCACATCAAAACCTAACAAATATGGAATTCAAATTTTTTCAATGGTAGATTTTAAGCTATTTTATACAGGCAATATAGAAATTTATGCAGGACTGCAGCCTGAAGGTCCATTTCGTGTCAGCAATAAACCAGTAGATGTAGTCAAGGAATTAGCTGATTTATCTAGTCACGACGAAATATCACTGCGGATAATTGGTTCACCGATCTAACTCTCGTCAGCGATTTGAAAAAGAACAGACATATGTAGGGACAGTCAGAAGAAACAAACGTCAACTAGCACCTAGAATTAGAGTACGACAAACAGACCAATACAATCTAACTTTTTTGCTTTTAGTGAAGAGTGTACTCTTGTACCGCATGTGCCGAAGAATGGAAAAAACGTAATTCTAGTATCTAGTAGGTATGCACTTCGATGACGTAGTAAATTTAGATACGCACAAGCCAGAGATCATTAATTATTACAATCAGACGAAATCAGGGGTTACACTGTAGACCAATTGGTTGGTTCGTATAATGTAGCCAGAAACAGTAGAAAGTAGCCTATGGTGATATTTTACGTCGTCTTGAACGTTGCTGGGATCAACGCACAGTCCATTCACATTCTAACTCAGAATTCAAAAATACGACGAGATTCTTCATTCGAAACCTTTTTGTCACAGCAAATAATACGGCAATCGGATATTACTACAGGTATTCACAGACCATTGCAACTTTAGCTTCAAAAACATAAGGAGGAAAGTTCAACTAGTCGGGCAGATCCAGATGTTGCTAAGACAGACAATAAGAGAAAAAGGTAAAAGACGACGCGTTTGTCCAAATACTATTGTAAATGTACCACATTTTTATGTTTTGAGCATAGCAATATTGTTTGAAACAGTTGCTATAACCTAATTACTATTTAAATGGAAGTAAGCCACAATTAAAGGTTAAAGTACGTTTATTGAGGTTTCAATTTCCACCTCGGAAATCGTTCTCAAAATACAAACACTAAAATTTGTATTTTGAGAACGATTTCCGAAGTGAAAATTGAAACGTCAACGAACGTACTTTAACCTTTAATTGTGGCTTATTCCCATTTAAATAGTAATTACTTTAAAATGCCACAAGAAAATAGCTTCAGAACAAATTAAGTTGTTATAACCGTTTTACTAATCCTTCCGCTGATCAATCTGATTTAGCTAAATCTAATTATGTATTTGGGTTATTTTTGCCTGAGATTACTAAAAATAATAATAGTTATTACATGTTTTTATTTTGTTATGTTCTTAATACTGCATTTACTTTATTTTCTCTTGAAAATAAATTAATTTCAATCCGCTTATTTTTTTATGAGGTTATGTTCAAAATAAACGTTTCTTCCGATCTCGATCAGTTTTTTTTTTAAATCTTATTGAAACACCTAAATTCTATCTATCTATCTAACATTAAACTTAAACGAATGTTTCTCTGAGATACACCGCGACCTATACAGTACATTTTATAACCGTGGCCTCCGAAGTGTTAATACTAGTAATGAACGTGTTTACATATGGCAGTTTTTATTACATTAGTACAAATATGAATGAATAAAAATATGGAAAAGGCACATCCAATTGCTTAAAATATATTAGAATACTTTTTTTGGACAACATATACTAGAAGAATACTTTTCACGATTAAGAAACTGGATTAAAAAAATAAATAAATTACCTTCCCATACGACTCCAGAAGCTGTAGTGATTCGAACTACATTACCAATTTGTCCAGTAGAAGCATGCATAAAATGAGCATTGTTGTATACTCCATCGGATACCACTGACCTTGAAGGTCTCTGGGTCCTGTAATTAAGGAAAACATTTAAAAATGTAATAGACCAAAATGTACAATCGAGTGGATTAGTAATTACGAAAAATGTAGCAAAAACTGTTAAACAAGATATAAATCCAATATATAGCTTCAAAATGTATCTCAGGATCGTGTGAACATAGCTAATAGCCACAGCTTGTATTTTGTCACAAGTTATACACAGTCTGAGCCTAGATTTTAAAAATAAATATCATTACACATAACAGTAATTTAAACTTGTGTGCACGAAGGACAGACGAACCGTCTGTATGTCGTAAAACTAAATGATCAATTTTTTAATGTAAAAATTTATGGTATAAGATTTTAAGATCCAAAACTGATTGGAGATTTACGACCAAAAAAAAAATTGTCGTTCGATTTATTTTTTTTAATAAATTCGTTTCGCTTGTTGCTCGAATTATTTTTTTAAATATGGTACATACATCGAAAATAACAGCGTACCAAAAGTATCAAATTAATTTAATTATAATTAATTGCATTTCAATTCCTTTGAAGTGAATTCCATTCCATTAAATTTGATTCACTTCGATGCAATTCGATTCCATCGATTCTATTCCATTCGACTTGATTCCATTCGATACGATTTCATTTAATTCTATTCCATTCGATTCGACTTTATTTTCCTTTATATTATTTTATTTTGTTTCAGTTTAGTTTAGCTTATTTTATTAAGAAATACGCAGCGGATTGCGTTTACTACTCCACGTAGTGTGTGGTCTCACAATTTGCGTTGAATTGGGTTTCTTTTATTTTTTCACTCCTATGCTTCAAAAAAAAAAAAACTACAAGAAGCCATAACGAAACTGAAAAATTAAGACAGTCCGTGAAAAGGCGGAATAATAAATTGATTATTCCCCTGTATATTGATATGATTCCCCTGTTTACGACATGTGAAAAAAGTGGCCTATATAATTACAGCGGAATAAATCTGTTCAGTTCTAAGTGCAAAATAAATAATTAGAATACAATAAACCAACATATCTATGTTTCCTGGACCTTAGGAAGGCATTTGATAGGGGCAAATTAAAGGGCGTTATCCACTTATTGTACGCAAGAATCTAGGAATCATTAAAACGATCGAAAATATCTACCAAAACAACACAATAAAAGTAAAAGTACAAGAACTAACTAACTGTCCCAATTGAAGCTGGGAATGGGATAAGACAGGAAAATTCCATGAGTCCTCTATTATTCAGCCTGTCCATGGATGAAATAATAAATAAAGTTAAAACTAAAAAAGGATACCAAATGGAAGAAAAACAACTTAAAACAATACTACTCTCTTAAAGTGAAGATGATTTACAATGTATGCTGCTACAATGCCAGAAAATCTAACTGGTTTACTTCCTCAAAAAAGAGGAACTACTAAGTTGGGAATTGGAGCTAGAAGGTCAGATAATAGAACAAGTAATGGAGTTTAAATACCTAGGTAATACAGTATATAGCTGCGGAAAGCTCGAAACAGAAGTGGAAGATCAATTGAATAGAGCAATCAGAGACACAGGTTGCCTCAATGAAACAATATGGAGAAATAAAAATATCGGAAAGAAAACGAAAGACAGAATTTATAAAACAGTCATCATACCAATAATGACATTCGCGGCAGAAACACGACCTGACACAGAGAGGACAAAAAGGATGTTAGAAACAGCAGAGATGAAAAAACTTGGAAAAAGTGATGGAAAAATATTGGAAAAATAAGAAGTTTGAATAGATTTCAAACTCTTAACGAAGGTAATGACAATATCAGATGAAGTAGGATTCGAAAGAGGAAGATCCTATAAGAATAAATAAAGAAGAAAAAACAATACCAAACAGGAAACAAGCAAATATAAAGAATGTTACATTAGTTGAATATTAAGGCTAAGTAATTCAAAATGAACATAACAAAAAGACACAAAAACAAAAAGTCTAATATTATCAAGGACCAATAAAAGGTTAAAACTTCAGATTGAAAACAAATTTGTAGAACTTCTTATATTAGGCCTGTTGTACGATCTTAATGCTGTAGTCGTGTTTGTGACATTGACTGGCATCTCGCCTGATACCTGTTATCTTACATCTTTTGGTATTCGAGCTAGCCTAAATGTAATATTCTATTCATTCAGTATGCTGATTTTATCCCCGTTCTCTGTCTTCCCCATCGTACAATATTATGTATTTTATTACTATTTATATGGGAAATAAGCCACAATTAAAGGTTAAAGTAATTTTATTGACGTTTCAATTTCCACTTCGGAAATCGTTCTCAAAATACAAACATAGTAAATTGGATGTAAGCCAGAATTTACTACGTTTGTATTTTGAGAACGATTTCCGAAGTGGAAATTGAAACGTCCATAAAATTACTTTAACCTTTAATTGTGGCTTATTTCTCATTTAAATAGAAATAACTTTAAAATGCCACAAGAAATTAGCTTCAGAACAATGTTATGTATTTTACAGAGATCTTTTATTTGGTATTTTGTCTCTTAATGTTTTCTCAGACCTGATCTCAAGACTCCCATACTGACATTTCAAGTATTATTTTTGTTTCTGCTGTATCTGCTCTAGTTTCTATCAGATATGACATTATTGTATTGAACTTACAGGAGATTTATATAATATATCTATACTTACCCATTGTTGGAAAACCAACTAATTCGTTAACTGTTTTAATTTAACCTAACGCCGCCTCTGTTCCTGAATAACACATGTTAGCCCTTATTAGTTAAAAGAACCAAAAATCTTCAGTGCATTTGACGCCCCTCTTACACCCGCTGACCCTTTGTCATTTACCCAAGCTGGCCACATATTGCATACAGGCATATAAGGACAGTCGTATTAAGTAGTTCAAGTTAAGAAGTCGCTAAATAAGTTATTCTCTCTCCTCGTTCTCTCTCTCTCTCTCTCACCCGTATATATATATTACAAGTTATATTAAGTTAGTTTAGTGTTGCAAAGTGCAAGGTGTATATATGTAAAATAGTTTGCAAGTAAAATAAATCCAAGAAGTAAAGTGTAAGTGTATAATTTCACCCCCACAAGAGTAACAAAACGAATCAGCAACCTACGCTTAAATCCTGTAACCAATCAAGACAGGTCACCACAAGGGTTTTGGTGCTCTCAGGGAACGTTTGAAAATAACCCCATCGTTCCCCTTTATGGTCCTTCATCGCTAGATCTCTTGTGGAAGGTGAATTTAAGAAAAAAGAAAAAATCCCGGGAAAATTCAAATCAAAAAGCCGGTAACGCCACATCACGGAATCATCGCCCTTTCTCTCTCTGCATCTGCACGCAACACCACCGAACGCAGCACATGGTTAGTATACGGAGTGTACGTCTTCAAGTTTCGAATACACCGATTGTCGAGTAACCGAGCAATCTACAAGGTATCTCTCTCATACACACAAGGTAAGCGGCTCTTTCTCTATCATTCTTCACTCTCGACGACACGAACAGAGCGACGGATTTCACAACAGGTGTGAAGTTGTTGACAGTTTGTGTGTTTTTGTGTTTTGTTTTGGTTTATTTAAAGGTTAGACACTAGAAATTTTTAATTTTATTATATTCAATTAAACTCACATAAGGATTTAAAAAAAAACTGATTAAAATAGTAATTCGTATAAAATTATAGTAGTAATTGTGTGTTTATACGAGTTTATATATATATTATAAACATATAAAGTTGTATATTTTATTTTATCATATCAATAAGTAGATCAATCTCTTTAAAAATGGCTTTGGACACATTAAAAACTGAAAGAAAAGTATTAAAGGCAGGTATTACTAGAATTTTCAATTGGTTCAACATTAACAAAGACTCAGAACTTGACATCTTGCACTTTGAAAATAGGGAAAGGCAACTGAGGACCTATTTTCAACAATATGAAGCAATTCAACATCAGATCGAATGTTCTGATGATGCTGATGTTGAATCTTCAGATAGGGATGATGTAGAATGTAAGTATTTTAATGCTCTGGCAGGGATTCAAAGAAAAATTAAAAATATTAATGAAATTGTAACAAATGTAAATTCTTACAATACTTCACAAAGTCATGCCTCTAAACATTCAATAAGACTGCCAGAGATAACAATGAAAGTTTTCACAGGTGAATTCTCAGATTGGAACTCTTTTATTCAACTCTTCAGCACTTTAGTAATTGAAAATCCTGATTTGAATGATTTACAAAGGCTAATATATTTAAAAACGCATGTTAATGGTGAACCTTTGGAATTAATTAAAAGTTTGGAAGTGATTGATACTAACTTCCATATTGCTCTAAATACTTTAAAGGATCGGTATGATAATAAAGCTCGCATAGTTAGTAGTTTGATTAAAAGGTTATTGAAAATTCCATCCCTAGTTAAATGCACTCCACAATCACTTCGAAGCTTTTTGACTAATATAAAGCAAACTATGCAGTCTCTCAGTAATATGCAGATTCCAGTTCAGCATTGGGATCTTATCTTGATTGAATTAATCTTAGAAAAGGTAGATTTTAATTCTCATAAGGCATTTGAGTATGAACTTGGTTCCAAGGAAATACCTACATTAGCTCAGCTTTTTATATTTTTAGAGAAAAGATGTGAAATCCTTGAGAAACTGCATAGCTCTAATCCTCAGACTCAAAAATTTAATTCTAGTAGTCATGCTCGTGTAACACATCTCTCTAATATTGAAAGTAAACCAAATAATTTAAGATGCTTGTTTTGTTCTCAAAACCATAAAATTTATAATTGCAATGGATTCAAAGGCTCATTGCTTCAGGAAAAACTGAAGTTTGTAAACACAAAGAAATTGTGTAGAAATTGTTTGGGAACAAGGCACTTCACTGCAAATTGTGGTTCGCAGTCAACTTGTTCTATCTGTCATGGAAGACATCACTCACTCCTTCATAGAGATAATCATATACAACACTCAACTGCTACACAAAGATCTCCTCCTGAAGCTCACATGATCAGAAATGATAACCACTCTCTTAATAGAAA